AAATAGTACCAAGTTGCATTATGGGAAATGTAGAACCCAGGAACTCATAAGTAGTTCATCTGAACCTCTGCTGCGGCAGGTATGACGATTCTTTTTTTTTTTTTTTACAGTTTCTGGCTAATGGTGAAATATTGGTGCTTTTTGAAAGATGCCACGCCTTTCAAACCCACCAGTGGGGTTTTACTCTCCAGAGGTTAAATATTCACTGACTACCAAGTGACTCTGTACCATATGGCAGTTCAAAGTCTAGAAGATCCAAATTAAGTGTTTCTACCAAAGTCCACTGTCAGTTTGGGAACTTTTTTCTTGCTTATTACATAATTACCTATTTTTCAAAGAAATGCATCATATCAACTATAATAAGCGTATCATTAGTATATGTGGCAACGCTTTCCTAATTTCACTGTCAGTAGTGCCAAACTGTGTAGGACTTTCTTGGGATTAGCAATGTAATTTTTTGCTAAAAATATGAGGAAACTTTATTGAAAATAACTGTGTAAAATAAGCCACTACCAACAAGTTCATAGGCTTCTTGGTCCAGTTACTGCACAGCTCTCAGACCAGCGTCTGTGCCTTTGTATTTCGTGGCTGACTGTTTGTCCTTCTGTCAGAAACATCTTATGAGCTCTATTCTGTCTTGTAAAGATTTTTTCTTTTGTCACCTTAGGGTGGCGTTTACTGCACTGGCAGCCGATCCATCCGTCGTTAACCTGGGCCAAGGCTTTCCAGACATCCCTCCACCTTCTTATGTCAAGGAGGCGCTAGCGAAGGCTGCATCAGTGGACAGGATGAACCAGTACACCAGAGGCTTTGTGAGTCTGATTAGCTGTCGTAGCAGTGACTCATGGCAGACCGCTAAAAAAAGAAGCTAATTCATTTAGCATTTCTTGTAAGGAGCTGAATACAGATTTTGATGTTGTTTCAGGTGCAGTCAGAAATTTAGGACCAAACTTCTCAGTGTTTAAGAAATCACTAATGTAGCTAAAAAACAAATCCTCCAGCTCACCTTGAACACTTGGTGTTTCTTGGTGCCCTTTTACCCCCCATCTCCCTGGCTGGCCCGTCGCTATGTCCTCAGAAGCTGCACTTTAAACTGCACCTGTAGAAATGTGTAGAAATGGCCTGAACTGCTGTGGAGCTCACTGGTTCTCAGGTTCCACCTGCTGCAGATGTGGTTTAGCTGATGATAAAGTTCTGGATGCTGCAGATTTAAGATTCATCACATCACAAATGTAGGAAGTCCGCTGTAAGATATGAAACGTGTCAGCTACAGTTGCAGCCGTTAGCATCACTGCTAATCAGTCGGGTTGTGCCTTGGGCAATATCCGAGCTACAGCCTGAATCACGTTAACACATGATAGAATATTGATTTTGGGTTTATTACTTAGATCGGTCCATTTAGTTGTTTTCTACATGTAGGTAACATATAATGTTACAGAGCATAATAATGTTACACTCCATATCGCTGTCAAATACATGCATGAGAGGTAACACCAGAAAGAAGCCTCAGAAATCACTTGTGCACAGGCGCCACGAGCAACGTGTCACTGCCAGCCAATCCTGTCCCGTGATTTGCATCATGTGGTAGCAACATGCCGCTTTTGTTTACGCATAATAGTCCAGAGCGCAATGCGACTGATTTGATGCAGATGGGTCACAAATGTAATTTTTAGTAAAGTGAGGTACAAATATTTTATCAGTCAGTCTTGGACAATATTGAAATTTCACTTTCATGTTTCATAAATACGTCGACCTGCTAAAACTCTCCATTCAGTAAAGTAGCAGGCGGGAGGTACTGAGACAGGAGCTGCCATATAAAAATCAACCGTATGCTATGACACAGTTTTCATTGAAATATTTGCTGAAGCCAGAAGTTTACTGTTTACATTTTGTTCTGTCATTTTGTTTAAACTTGTGTCCTCTATCGGTTTGAAGGGTCATCCACCTTTGGTAAAGGCCCTTTCTCAGGTTTATGGGAAGGTCTACGGACGCCAGATCGACCCCTTAAAAGAAATTCTGGTCACAGTCGGCGGTTACGGTTCCTTATTCAGCACCATGCAGGCACTGGTGGAAGAAGGAGATGAGGTGAGCACATTTCTCTCCCTGACTTTATATTCATACACATTCATATGTTCATTTCTAAACATGCTTCCAGTGTTAACAGCATGTTTCTTGTGTGATGTCGCCTCCTCCAGGTCATCATCATTGAACCCTTCTTTGACTGCTATGTGCCGATGGTGCGAATGGCAGGGGCCAAGCCTGTGTTCATACCGCTACGCCTTGTAAGTTTGACTTGCTGTTTACATCAGGTTTTCTAAATGTTCACCAAATTCAATTTAAAATGTTTTAAAATCACATGAAATGCAACTTGAAGCCTGATTCACAATCAAACCACAAGATTCTGACGATTTCCTGTAAACTTTATTAGAATTTATTACAATCCGGACAAGTCAGGGAATTTTGTGACACAAACATCCAGACCAATCTCATAAAACAAATATTCATAATGTAATATGACATCATTACAATATTTGATCACTTTTCATATTTAAACATGCAGATTCCCTCATACATGTAGTATGTAAATACTGCAGACTTACGTGGTTTGAGGATGTTAGTAAAGTGAGGAGCCATGACAGAAAACGTGTTCTGAAAAATTTTAGAAGCCTGGAAAGAAGACAGGCACGAGTGCTGACTGGTTCCTCGACCCAGACGAGCTTTCCAGTAAATTTAACTCAAAGACAAAGGCCATCATCATTAACACTCCGAACAATCCAATTGGGAAGGTAAGTACAGACCACAGTCATCACTCATGAGGTGCTTTTCATTAGACTAACCGATGCTTCCGTATTTCTTCTCTCCCGTGACCCAGACCCGTCGTCCAGTCCTTTAACCCTCTAAAACCCAAACCACCAATAAAAGGCATTTTGTCATTAAAAACATTAAAACAAAATGACACAATTTATGAGCCAGAAACTGTAAAAATAGGAGAAATCCCAGGATTTGTAACTTTTTGACGGTCCTTGAACTACCCATCTGTGACATGCTGATCTTAAAATTGTGATATTGAATGAAAATGACTTTATTGTATATTTTTCATTGAAGAATTTGCCCAAAATAAACAACTGTAGTCGTTGGCACCACTGTAAGGCCGTTAGTGACTGACAGTTATGTGGCAAACATTCAGGAACCTTTTGCTTAAACTGGACAGAACTGCAGGCTGTTTGCATGGAGCTGAGTAGAGACAAGTAAAGAGGGAACTTAAAATATAAGTCGTATAATATCTATAGTATGTGAAGCCACATTTTTTTTGTTTGTTTAGAGACTTCTTGTACATATTGATTTCAGTTTTTCATTTTTTTTAGTCATGAATGATGAAAGAAATTCAACTTTGGTTTAATCTTAATTATGACTTATGACATTATAACTGTATCATGCTGCACAAAAGACATTTGAATTCTCCTTCTTGGCATTCAGAGGGTTAAATGCACCTCGACCACCTTCCACCCTATATAAAAGAAACGTGGCTCTCAAATCCTCACTGGGAGGAACTAAGACAGAATAGGAGAAATGTGGAAGCACGTTAGTGTAATGAGAAGCAGCGACTGTGTTTGAGAAGCTTGCTGAGAAGAAGTTGAATGCTGTCATTAGTTCTTGGCCTCTTTCTGCAGATTTTCACCAGAGATGAGCTGCAGATGATCGCAGACCTCTGTATTAAACACGACACGCTGTGCTTCAGTGATGAGGTTTATGAGTGGCTCGTCTACAAGGGACATCAGCACATCAAAATTGGTACATTTTCAGTTTCACATACTTGTCTGACAGAAAAAGTAAATAAGGTGTAAAATGCACTAACATGAATTTAAAGCACTTCTTTTGTACGTGTCAGCACAGCTCTGCAAAATCTCTTAAACCTGTTTTTAGCATAAATTTAGATTTTTTTAATGTTAACAACTGAAGAACATGTTATTATTGACTTTTAAAGATTCTCAGAATCACATCCTGAGTTTGTGATAATGTTTTGTTTCTCTGCAGCCACTTTGCCTGGAATGTGGGATAGAACCATAACTATCAGCAGTGCAGGGAAGACATTTAGTGTTACTGGATGGAAGGTAAGAAAAATGTAGATTTAGAACACAAGTTCTGATATTCAATCCTGATCTGCTTCTGATTGTGGCTTTTACATTTGTGACTTGTAGCTTGGTTGGTCTATAGGACCTGAGCACTTAACTAAGCATCTTCAGACTGTCATGCAGAATACGCTGTACACCTGCCCAACACCTTTACAGGTTAGTCTGCCAAACTTTTTACATAAGGAAGTCTTTGAGTTTATGAGAGAGTGCACATGAGAAGTGACATGAGAGTGCTTTGTATTTGTCCTCAGGAGGCCGTGGCACAAGGTTTACTCCTCAACTATGAGCTGATGGGTCAGCCTGAGTGCTACTTCACCTCACTGGCAGAAGAACTTGAGGTGAAGAGGGACCGGCTGGCCTCCATCCTGCAGGAGGCTGGTATGACTCCTGTCATCCCAGAGGGAGGCTACTTCATGCTGGTGGACGTCACATCTCTCAGTGAGTTACTGCTCTGTTAAACTGACGTCACAATCACTTACACTCGTGATACCCTTTGGTGTGGCACTGCTGCATCGTCTGTGTACAGACTTAAACTGCAGCCTGACTGGCTGGCCGAGGCATTCAACCACGAGATGGAAACTGAAGTTGAGTTGAAGAGTGAGTGTGTGGGTTTTTAAATATATTTATTACTTTCAACATCTTATTACTGAGCCAGTATATTGTGGAACCAGGCACATGCCTGCACACCTTGTTTCTGCTGCCTCCAAGTGACCAGAAAACACATTATTGCGGGTTTATTGAATTCTTGATGTGGATAGCAGTGGGACTGTCTCTAAGGCCACGTTTACTCATAGCCAGGTATTCACAAAAATGGATCTACGTTTTCAAAAATAACATTTTTCACACCAGATTGTTTTCAAAAAAATCTTTGTTTACACAAATTCACATAGACATGTCGTTAACTTAAGGAGCTCATAGCAGCTCTTAATAAGAGCTGCTATGAGCTCCCAGACCTATAGGGGGCAGTGTAACAAGAAGCATGAAGCTATGCTAGCCAATAACAATCCTGGAAAAAACACAACAACGAAAGCTTCTTGTTGCTTCAACGATAATGGCTCGAGGGTTGTTTGTTTGGACCGACAGAGAAGTGGAGCTTCTCCTGAATGTGGTGTTAGAGAACAAAACAAGTCAAATACTTGACAATGTTGACTGGGAAACATGTCAGTCCAAATATATGGACGTAGCCAAACTGCAAACATGGGTCGCACACTGTGATGTGAAACTCTGTCTCCTCCTGTCTACATGCAAACGTAAAGATGGAGTTTTTCCAAATCTCTACTTTAGCCGGAGTTTTCAGATACGATCATTTTCAGTGACTTGTAGCTTCATTTACGTGTAAACCAAAGGCCCAGACGCACTGAAATATCAGCGTTTTTGCTACGTGTAAACGGGGCCTAGCTCTGCTTGTAAATATCTCTTCCTCATTGTAGATCTGGACCTGTCGCATATAACTGATGATGAGGCCTATGACTACAAGTTTGTCAAGTGGATGATTAGAGAAAAGGTAAATACACTTCTTCATTCTAACACTCATTTTTTTAACCACATATTTTTATTGCTTTTTAAAAAAAATGTACTCATTAATATATTTAATGCAGAAACTAGCAGCCATTCCAGTCACAGCGTTTGTTGGAGATGAGTCCAAGAAGCAGTTTGAGAAATACATCCGCCTGTGCTTCATCAAGGTAAATAGAGAAAGTTTCCAGTTGTTACAAACCAAGAAGACATAATCTCCAAAATGATCCAGTAAAACTTAAATCGCTGAATCCCAAGCAGTTTCTGGTCTTTTTTGCTCCCATTACATTCATATTCTACATCACTGTGGGATCATTTTTCACTGAAAGATAAAAGTTCTGCACCTCTATGGAAACAACACAACCGTGGCTAGAAGCAGAGAGAACTTAAAAATGTCCTCTGTGCATTATGAGACGGTTATAATGCCATAAATCATATAAAAAAAGAAGAAGAAAAAAAAAGAAAAGCATAAGTAGGATTTCTTTGAAAAACCTGGAATGTACAATAACGTTTCAAGCCCACAGATGTTGTCAATACTAGAAAAATATGGCGATTGTACATTCTGTTTTTATTTTGCTACTTATGTTGAATTTTTTTCCCCATACTTGTCCCCCATCTGTCTAAACACAGCCTGCAGTTCAGCAAAAAAATGAGTTTTTGTCATGTGACTGCAGCTGAGTCACTTATGGTTTCACGGTTGTGCTGATTGTGATTCTTTTAGTTTTGAAGCTGATAAATGGCATCATCTTGGCAATTTGTTTAAAAGATAAAATCCCTTTCAAAATCACTGGCAGGTTTTGGGGTTCAGAGTGTTAATGCTGGCTGGGTGCATTTTTTTTTTCTTCTCTGTTGGGAAACACGTGTTTTCTTTCTTTCAACAGCAAGACAGTACTCTGGAGGCAGCAGGGGACATCTTGAAAAACTGGACTAAGATTTAATGGGATCTGGTGAAGACTTGAAGTGGACTGCACCCGAACTGGGGAACAGTACAACTTTAGTAGAGGAGTTAACTGTTGAGCTGTACACAGTGTTAAAAAAAAGCTATCTTCAGGTTACCAAGACTGAAAGGAATAGTTAATATAAATGCTGGGTGAGATAATGAAGTTGAAGTTTTTTTATTTTTTTTCTCCAATGTGGATTTAAAGCCCTTATTCATTTCTGTTGCCAATGTGAATTACTGAAGTCGGTTAGTATTTTTCTAGTGTTGTAACATTTGACACACAGCAGAGAAGTAAACGAAGGGCTGCTGTAGCTGAGCCAGGCTGCTGTAACTGTGCCTTTTCTGTGTCTTTTGTTTCCAGTAAAGCTGTGAAACTTAAGACACATGCCTTTGGTTGGACTGTTTTGTGAAAACCAGAGAAGAATACAGTGTTTTTCCAATCGGTTCCAGATCGTGGAGACTAGAGCAGAGTGATTTGGGGGGAAAATATCTACTTGTTCTGTTTTCTGACAGATATTGAGATAAAAAATAAATGTCTGTATTCATTGTGTAATATATTTATAATATGCCTGGAATATGACCACATAAGGTACCATCGAAACTGTGGATGTAACATGAGGTGGATGGCAATTTGTAAAACCATGTAAATCTACATGGAAATAATGGCGTATTTAAAATTCCAATTTCTATTAAAACTTGATTATTTTTATAATTGCGCAGCTGCAGTGGAGACCATACAGATTTACAAAAACACAACGTTGGCTGGCATCTACTGATTCCATGAATTCATCTCTGGTTTTCATCTCCTTTTGAATAAATCTGTTAATAAATGTGAACACGCAGTTTGTTTTCCAGTTTTTTTGTTTGTCTCACACACACACACCACCTAAAACACAATCACCCTTGTTTTTTTGTTTTTATTGAGTGTGATCTTACATGAGTGTATTCATACGTTAAGGCCATTACCACGATAGAGACATGCAACCACTGTACCATTAAAAGCCACTTGTGATATGAATATGACATTTTTGCAGTAACTTCAGAGGCTAAAATAATGTTGCCGCGGTAATTCTTGCCTTGTATTGGCTGCTACCGGTCCGCTAATTCTCGGAGACCACCCTTGTTTTCAAAGCTGTGGACTTAAAATCAAGTAGCAATTAACAATACTTAAAAATGTATAGGAATAAGCAGTGAGACTAATAAAAAAGAAACACCATATTTGCACCAGTCTTAAGTCAGTACAGCAAAATGGTGCAAGTGTCCGAAAGGTGTGCCAAGAACAATGGGAATTAAAAATCCAAACCCTGTCTTGAATTAAAGAGGTCTGAGGCAAATTTAATACAGTCTCAAGTTGTCAAGAACATTTTGTGTGTGCACTGTTAAGCAGCTGGAGTGGTCGGGCATGGACTAGATTTTACCCACCGTGGCATTTCCAGTCAGTGTAGAGTGATTTTTGTCATTGTTCTGTTAACTATTCATTGAGACTTATTTTATGTTACATAATCCTCAATGTTTGAAATCACACACCATAAAATTGAACATGTATGTAGATCATTTACCACTTCTGCATGTCATTATTTACTATTTATTTAGGTTAATCAAATGCTGGGGCACCCAACAGGTTCATGTGGCTCCTCCTCACACTTAGTCTGAAAGGTAACCTGATCTGGATCTGAGTTGTTTACCAGCATCAGTTGCCTGAATGTCTAATCTTGCACTGTGTTGAATTTGCTTCATGAAACCGACATAAACCTGACAATAAATCAGACTAACTGAAATAAGCCAGACTTATTTGGTAAACCTGCTTCATGTAACGCACCCAGTGGACAACATGACCGAGGAGTTATGGCATTGTTTTTTAGCTTTGATAAAATGGCATATCATTTTTGTAACCAGAATAATGATGTGCAATAATGATATTAATATATATATATTTTTAAAAAAATAAACAAAAACAAACTTAAACCTACTAAATTTAAACCAACATGTGAATCAATTAAAGTGAAATACAAAAGGCCTCCTGGCACGTGAACAAGCGCGTGACTGCAAAAATCAACCGGCCGTCCGCGCGCACAGCTACAAATTTAAGAGAGAAGCAGGTGGAGGAGTTCCTCACAAAGGTGTCCGGAAATATGGCAACAGGTGTTTTTAACAAACCAAAACTGCAGTTACATTACTGAAAAAAACAAACAAACAAGCAAAAACTCCAGAAGCGTTTTCAGGGTCCATGAAGTGCAACAACCAGGCTAAACCAGGTAAGCTAGCATGTTTAGCTAACAGGTGGCTCTGGTTTAGCGCTAACTTTAGCTAACTGACAACAATGTGTAATGATACCTGTAAAAAATAGCTTTAACATTCGCAGCAGAAACGTTGTGGAACATGTTGTGGTTGTTTGTCTCATAGCATCTCGTGTATAGCGTAAACAGTGTTGCTTTACCTTTCAGCTGTTTGAAAATTAGCAAAGTTAGCTAGCTAGCTCTGTAGCCTCATTTCGTGTTAGCATATGCTACAGTGTTGCAGCTGTAGTTGGACTTTAGTTGGTGCTTTGCCTCACAGTTTCCATCAGCCTTCAGTCTGTACAGGAAAATCCAGAAATACACCTGTTTATTGACATATCAGGCACAAATATTAGGATGTATACAGTCTCACAGTATGACAAAGTGGCCTGTTAAAATCCAGAACAGCCGATCTGTGATCTCTGTTCATGGTTCCACCTCAGTATTACATTTATTCTCATGCAGATCAGTATCAGATCAGTTTACTGCTGAGTATGAATCAACTGAGCAGGCATGTCCCTCTCAAATTACATAAATGAATTAATAACATTAATAAAACATCAAATGCAGTCTATATATATAAAAAAAACTCAAGATATTTGCTTGCATGATTGACATACCAAGAATTTACAATGTCAGGACTTCACACTTGTACAGATGTTATTTTAAGAAGTTTCACATCCCTCTTACTAGAAAGTTTTGTGTTAAAGAATTATTTCAGTCTGATGGTGTTGTACAGTACAGATGTATTACATTCAGTTTAAGATGTTTGATGTTAAAGTATTTAGTCTCTCTGATTGATCAAAGTCAATATCAATCACACAACATGGATTCTGTGCACAAAATATAGACAAAACCCAGACAAATATCATCTAAATCTCTGACTGAATTCAGGAGTTTACATCAAACTTCATATGTATAAAGTACATACTTATATATAATCTGTAGTTAATTATATTTATTTAATCACATTTAGATCACGGCATGTGGTGCTACTAATGAGGGACTTCATCTGCCAGGATTGTGAGGAAACGTCTGACACTTCAGCTTGAGAACTTCTGCTCTGAGCCACTTGAGGGAGACAAAGTACATCAGACTGACACAAAACTTGACTGTAGTGTTTAGTGTTTGTCTACCCGTTGTTCCGCAGTAGACAACCTTAGCAGCACAAAAACAAATGTAAACCAAGTCATCTTGTGTTTATTGTATGTTTATTACATTCTCAAACATGACTGCTACGTTAAAGGGATGGAAATGTGGAAGCATCAGGTGTGGAAGAACAAAACCACAGAAAGTACACGTTTAAAATGGTCTAAAGGCTCCACAGAGATTGTTGGAAATTCTGTGTAACATTAACAGAACATGTTGGACTGGGCGGTTCCTCCTGATCATAAGTATATCATATAGTGCTCACTATTCATGTCCATGTAGGCCATATGTAAACCACAATGACTCGATCAGTTGGTAACTATTAAATTAATCACAGACTATTTTGTTAGTTGATTAATTGATTGGAGTATTTTATTTTTAAATGTATAAATTATCTGATTGCAGCTTCTTAACTTTGAATATTTTCTTATTTCTTTTGTGCTCTGTGACTCTAACCTAATATGTTTGAGTTTTAGACACATCGAGACATTTTAGGGCATCTTATTAGATTTTAGGAAACACTGATGGACATGTTTCACCATTTTCTGTTATTTTACAGATCGACTACACCTAAATGATTTATCGAGTGAATCACGTACATGTTAGGACAATGAAAATAATCATGAGTTGTAGCGCTAATCATAAGAGAAGGCTGTTGGGTTAAACCATGCTGTGGTGCTAGGTTATGAGGCCCTTACATATCAGGTAATTAAATAAAGCACATTAATTGTAGTCATGGTAACTAATAATGGATTATATTCAAATAAAATGAAAAAATGCTCTCAAGCAAATTCTCCTAATGGTCCCTAAAGATTGAAACAGTCTGATAAAAGTAGTGTAGGACTGGGTCAAACATTTTTGTGTTATCAAGTAATAACTATGAAATACCAGCACAAGGCAGAATGACAAGTGTTCTGTGTGGATGCTCAAGATGTGGCATTTAAAGATGACTGTATATTAAAATTAGCTGCAAGATGTCTGTTATCGCTGAGGCATCTTTAAAATGTTTGAAGTAGCATGATGGTGCTTGGACAAACGATGGCATCCCACGCCTGAAGCGCGTCGCTGCAAATTTGGCGCAATAAACAGCCAACTTTGAGCTATTTCCAGCTGTCGTAGTCAACAGCGGTATGCCTGCGCTTAATCTGGTGGAGGAAGCATTATCTGATGAAATGCTTTTAATTGTAGCCTCGGAGTTAATAGTTAACGTTCCAAGCTACTCGGCATGAAATTGTGCTATCGGTAGGGATGAAGGTGCTCTGTTCTGCTAGACAAACAGGGGGGGGGGCGGTGGGGAGGGGTGCCCCCGCCGACCCCAAGATTAACATCAACACACCACAACTGTGTGAACCTTTGAATTTATGCAGGCTAATGATGTCATGGAAACCAGAAGCCAGGCTTATACATAACCACACACAAAAAAATACACCTGTCTGTTAGACAAAAGATCCATTTCCTTTGCATATAAATTTCTGCTACTGAGTCCCCCTGCTTGGTCCAAAAGCCTCATGGTTTTAGAATGACGACAACTGGCTTGTTGAGTCATATGATCCCTTGGTGGTGGTTGCTTTTTATCTATGTAGAAATCATGACGTTGCCTCTAACTAGGGCTGCCACTGAGGACTATTTTTCTGTTTTGAAAATGAGCATTTTAATAATGTTGGTTTTATTTTGTCATTGTTTAGTGCAACACGGGGATGAAATGGAAGCAAATTAAAGTGTAAAACTGTGTAGTTGAACTGTAAACTCTAACATGATTAAAATAATTGTAGAAGTCAGTCGTGCAACTCAAAAATCTGTTTCTAAACAAAGTGAAAAAGTTTGGTCTGTACAACAAAGAAAGTCGTGTCATCAGTTTGAGTAAGTTTTAAAGGACAAAAAGCCTAAACTCCTCGATTATAGCTTCCTCTTATTATTTTCTGCTTTCTTTGCTCCTCTATGACGGTAAACTGAATATCTTTGAGGTGGGAACAAAACAAGACATTCAAGGACGTCGTTTTGTGCTTTGGGAAACATTCATTGACTTTTCTCAACATTTTCTGACATTTGATCGATCCAACAACAGTCAGTTAAGCAAGATAATAATCGACAAATTAATCAACAGTGAAATTACACAATGGTTGCGGCCTAAGTCTCTTCATGTCCTTAGTTACAGAAACTGTAGTTGTTGTTTTTTGTTTTTTAACCTCTGCATCGTAGTGTTATTTTCATATATGTGTTCAGCATTAACTTCTACACTGTGTCATATTCTCCACTCAGAGTGTCCAGCTGCATACATGTATGATGGCACATCGCTGTAATGTAGTGTGAGAACTGCTTGTGGGAACACAACAACTGCAGTTAATAATCTGAATAGGATTATAGTGCAGGCCGCTGCTTTAATGGACAGTTACCAGATCCCAGTGGATTAGATGTCT